ATACATTGTCTCTTTTTTTCTTTATCGTCACTGTCATTACTGTTAATTATTTATATTTTCGTTGTTTGTGTTGCTGTCCTGACAGTGTCTGTAATTCTGTGATGTTTGCCATTTAGTATCATAGTAGCTCTTCCATGGTGTTATATAGCTTCTGTATGTAGAAGAATACAAGATATATATCATTAAATCCTGGTTGATAATTCTGTTTTTTATATTCTTCTTTGTATCTTTGTTGGTGATAGTGTACACTTCTTGGTCTAGCTTTTAGAAAGGTGTATTTATTTACCTCATTGTTTATATTTGTAATAAACATGGTGGTTCCTTTATATTTATTGATGTGTATTCCATCTCTGCTTAATAACTGTGTTGTGATATTGCCCATTGGTATAACATGTATATCTTTAATTTCTTTACTTCTAATGTGAGAGTTTATTTTGTCCATTATATTTGTTCTCTTTACCTTCCAGTGTTGACGTGGTATCATTTCTTGTGTGTTATATTTATCAGTACATTGAGTTCATTCTTGATTGATTCAGAGTCTGTCTCTTCATCTATGTCATTTCCACCAATATTCATTGTTATACTTTTTAGACTTTGTGGGAAATGATTATTTTAATAACTTGTTGGAATGTTTCAATCTTTGCACCACTATAAATGAGAACCATCTGGTTCTTTGCAAGATCACTGTTATAGATGTGTTTAGATTGAGAGTCACTGATTATCAAATGCTCTAGTTGTTGTGGTATATTACGTTGTTTAAGAATGTGTCCTTTTTCAGTAGAATTACTTGTAGGCTTGTCATTTTGCTTCTCTGAATTTCCCTTTACAATATCACTATATTTGGTTTTATTTTGAAGTGGGTCTCTTGGTGGGACTTTTTCCTGTTTGATACCAATGACCATTCCTGTTCTTGTGTGTTATTTATTCCCAGTACGTCTATCTTTTCATTAATTTGTTGGAACTAGTTTGCTATAGATTTTGTTATTGTTGTAGTCATGTATGAATAATTTTTTCCAACGCTTGTGGCCAGTGTCTTTGATTGCGTTTTTATGATTTTATTTCCAATAGGTATCACTGGCAGAGTTTGTTTTGTCATGTCTCGCAGCTGAAAGCCCAAGCTGACTTTGTTTTGTTCACAGAGTGAATAACTACTAAACTTTCTTTTGTGAAGTTGGACACTTGCAGGTAGCTCATTTTTTACCATGGGGGGGGGGGGGCTTGAGTTTTTTTTGAATTGTAAATGTTAGAGGTCTATTTATTTATCCATTCATTTGCAATGTCTGTTCACTTTGAAATCACTCAACATTTCTGTAGAATAATGCCTACCCAGGTTTTCACCTCACTCATCAGAAAATATTCAAATTTGCCGAAACTAATCAGAATATTTATTCTGTCAACATTTGGTGAAACATTCAACACAAAACAGAACAATATGTTCACACATGCCTGGTAACTTAGGTAAAAAAAAGGACATTTCATTGTCGTATATTTGTTTTAGAGTAGTACAATACTAGTTAAACTGAATATCTTGCCCAGTCAATTCTCCATTAGCTTCCTCATACATGTCGAACAATTGTGTGCAGTCATTTTGGTGTTTGGTTCAGATTTTTAATAAAATGAAAATTTAACACTTTTAATCATTTATTGCTTAAAAATCAGAATATTATCAAAAAGAATATTATGAAATATACAAGAATACAAAATGTTAAAAATTGATTATATTTATAATTATACAAAATTCTGTACAAAAATGTATTGAAGTTCTTTTCACAGTGTGTAATATATTTCATTGAGACATATGTACCAAATTATGCATCATTCTGATGAAACGAACACAGTACACACTAAGATGCTAAGCTAACCACTTTAAGCTAAATAGTTTTGTCATGACCCCCTTAAGGTCACACGTCCTGGTACACAAATTCACTGAGTATACAAATTCACTTTTTAAACAAACACACAATTTTAATTTGATTCTTGTACATAAACAAAAATAGCCTCAAGTTAAACCTGTATACTTTATGTAGCAATATATTTACAAGCTTTTATTTTGCCCAGCAAAAAATAAAACTGAAAGGGGAATTGGAACCAGCCATTTCAAAATACTAAGATTAAACTATTTAGCAATAAATCCATGTGAGGCAGTAACAGCATAGAGCATCAAGGTGTTCAATGTTTAAAACTTAAATTCTATATAAAAACTGTTTTTAAAGATTCTATGGACATGATTATTATAAATTTAAACTTCAGGGTTTCCCATCATACACCTGGTAATGATGGTGATCAATAAACTCATAAATGAATTGGACAGATCATATGTTGTAATATTTTAAATGTCACTATGTTTGAAATATTAGGCTTGAAATAAATATGCATATTAGAGAGGTCGCGCAACTATGATATCTTTGTCAATTTTTCATGGTATTCAATCTACATTCTGCGTTATCTTTTGATCCAGTGTTTTTTTGGAGAGTGCAACTCTGTTCCAGAGATAACATTATTTTTTCTAGGATCTTATCAGTGTTACTCGATAATAGCTCACATAATTATTATCGATATTGACAACAAACTTATCTTCTGACTTTGATATTTTAGGCAAAGAACCTACATTAAAAGTATAATATTCTTATACAATCCTTCAGTATTTTGACCCCTTTCCTATAGGATTCCTACAGGATGGTCCTGTAGGTACTGGCTGTCCTATAGGAATCCTTTAGGATTACTATAGGTCCTATAGAACATTTTCTGATATTTATTCTAACACTATGTACTCAAAAACATAAATACTGCTTCTCACAATACCATACATTTGGTATTTCTAATCTTATTATAAAATCTAGTTTCATCTTCATAAAACCATTTTAGCAGTAAACATAGCAGAGATAATAAAAACTCTAATATGTGCACACATCTTACCAAGCTAACACTAATCTTTGCTGAATATCATGTTTTTTACTTTATAAAATCAAGATATGATATAAAGTAATTTTAAAATACTCAACGTTCTCCATAATGCCCCTGCAGGCACAATGACAAACAAAAACCCAATATAAACAATAACATTTACCGGTAAGTAGCATGACAGGGCTTTTAATTACCCGCACATCACTACAATATAGTAGTGTACCTATGTGGATGTGCCTATATATTTTAATACTGTACTACTGCATTCACTACATCAATTACATTAAACTCTAACTAAATACTAAATATATTACTACTGTAACAGTGGTTTTGAACTACTGCACCTACATATCTATGTTACAAAACATATTTTAACATCAGTAATTTCTTGCTGTGTTTTACCACACTGGTATAGTATTAAAGGGCGGCAGTCGTCGTGCCGCGTTCTGTTCGATATGGGACTCATAGCGACGTATACAACGCGTGTAAAATACATTGTTTATTTACATGAAATTCTAACACGCGCTCGCGACGACCACCATGCTTTAAACTGGTTCAGTGTAATATACATTCCATATGCCAGCATTTATAAATGTACAAGGCCTACTATAAATATGTCTATAGATAGTGTGACATCATTAAGTATGAGATTGTCCATAAACGTTCAAGTCTTCTCTTTCTGCCTATTTAATAACCAGGCATATACTTCATCCATCACATCGAAACTCTTTATAGTGTTTAATCCTTTCATTAGTGTTGAAACATCACGATCACCTTCTGAGCTCGCCTTTATGTATTCTATCACGTGTCTGGCTGATTTTGCCACATTTATATATGGCATGCCAACTGCTATTGCCAAGTCACGATAACTTTTAATATGCAAGGGTGAATTTGTTTCACTTTCCGGTGTCAGCAGACCATTTATCTTATCCATAACAGTATAATTACCAAGTAAATCTTCAAGTGGCACACCTGAAATGAGGAAATAAATTTGACCTTAGGCTAAATTACTGATAAATTTTTGACTTCAAAAACATATATTATATTAAAGTAAATTTTAAGAGAAAACATTACAAAATAATATTATACATAAATTATCTGAACTTTCTTTGAACTCTCTAGAGTGTTAGCAAAATCTATAATTGAGAAAAAAACCTATTATCTGAGTTTGAGTTCAAATTCAATTACACACTTAAACTTACACTTTGAGATTAGTTTCAAAGCTTTGTTGGGGTCTTAGCAATCATATAAAATATTTGATTGTGTGAAACTGTGTGACAAATACATACTAAATAAACATCTAATTTTAATACAGTATGTTAAAATGCTGATCATTTTGGCATCCCATTTGATGGTTTGCTTCAATTTAATTTCTTAATAAGTTTTGAATGTAACAACATGTATAGATTAACCTCCATTCATGGGCAAACCTGTTGAATCCTGAAATATTTCCCACAATTCATCAACAATAATACAGTATGTCAAAGACTGCATGTGAGATATGCAAACGAACGCAGCTTGAACATGGTCAATCCAGGCCTGTCCAAGATACAAGTGTTAATGAACGCAGTTTGAATGTCATCAGTCTGAGCTACAGAGCTGAATCTAAAAGTCTCTATTTTCTGACTTTGATCAAACAGAGACCAATAATCTGCTCTCCACTGAGAAAACTATACTGTGTTGATGACTAACGAAACATACCTCTTGCTAATTTCATCTTTTCTTCCAAACTAATCTTCTTAGCACTATCAATTAATGATGGATCATTCTGTTCAATGAATAAAGAATACATATGATTAGATTAGATTCATTTCAACACAGAATCTGTAAACAAAAAGTTACAAATATACAGTACAGTCCTGACACAACTTAACTTCCAAGCTGGCTTTTAGCTACCTTTGCTTTTTCATTTCAATGCCATTAATAATATCAACTTATGTTTTGTAGTATATAATAATAATAATAATAATAATAATAATAATAATAATAATAATAATAATCTTTATTGAAACCGTATCCCGGAGTGGGATCTTAGTTAAAAAAAACAACACAAGATATTCAACTACTGTAAAATATTTTATTTTAGCTGGAATTAATTTTCACTGAAAAGGCTTTCTGGTGTTATGTATGGAATTTTTTATGAGTTGAATGTGAAATATAGGAAAAAAGATATATTTGCTGGGTTTTATTTTCACTGAATATCCCTTCAGTGAAAATAGCGAAAATAAATCCCAAGCGGAAAGTATTTTACAGTATGTTACTAATAGATTACTCTGTGCAATTTAGGTATGTTGTAGTTTTGAATAAAGCGATGCTAGCGAAATGTTACACTATATATGTACCGTACATGTAAGTAAGTAAGTAAGTAATTATTTATTGCTATCGTATCCCATTTGAGATCTTGACATAAAATACAATAAAGTCAAAAACATGTAATAATAAAAAAAAATGAAAATAAAAGGAAATACTAAAAATACTGTAAATGAATGAAATAAATACTTATCTCACAATAAGAGATAAATGAATAATCAAAGCAACTAGATCACAGGAATGTTGATAGGGTAAAAATAGTGAAAAATACTAGTATATAAAGATTCATTGTAACAAGCAAAATTGATTTGGAATTAATAAAACTTTGCTCTGGTTCATGACCCTTGAAGTTCACACATCCTGGTTCTTTCTTGTAACAAAGTCATTACAAACAGAAATTTGTTTTTTCTAGAAATATTCACCCCATCCCCCCCCCCCTCTACAAAATACCAGGATGTGTCACTTCCCCTTATATATCCTTGGTGAAACAATGCTGTAACATTTATATATAGTAACATATATTATTAATATTATTAATAATAATATAATACATAGTAAAAATTTGGTTTTAGAAAAATGAATATGTAAATTTGTGATAGTTGTTTTGTTATGCTATTCATCCTTGCTGCATTTTGATTCACTTTACTTAGCTAAGATACACTGCATCACATACATACTCAACAAACACCATGGCAAGGCCACAGGGTTCTGTCATAATGCTACATTATAACTAAGTTGCAAAAAGATTTACAAGATGTGGTAAGCAAGTTGTGTATTATGTGATGAAGAACTCATGCAAACTGATTTTGCATGAATTGATCACAAAAGCGCGAGACAAGCAAATATTTTCTCGAAATCATAATGTAAAATTTGTAGTTTGTGAAAAACTGGTTAATGTTCATTTGGTTCTATCTCACCTTTTTTTCAATAAGTGTCAATAAGGGGGAATGACATAGGTAAGTCTATGGTTAATTTAATATTCTCAATTTTCTGCATACAACAAATCCAATTATTGAGTAATGTGTGCTTCTATTAGCGATGAGCTTCTAATAGAATAAATACTGTATTATTAGTAATTTACCGGTTGTCCAGGATAGTGAACATCCGCAACAACTACAGCAGACTGTATACCCTTTAATCCGCTAGACTGTGCAGGATTAGTGGAAGCTGCATTAGTGGATTCATCATGATCAGTTGGTTGTGCATAAATCCCATCCCTATTCTGTGATTGTCTTTGGGTATCTTCATCAGAGTCAGAGTGTGGCTTATCATTATTAGTTCCTGTAACCCCCAGTCGCAGTAGTGGTTCAATCTCATCTGGTTTATCCCCATCTTCCAAATTGTTAACAGGAGTAGCACCAAGAGCTCTGAAATGAAAACAACACCCACTAGTAAGAAGGGTAGAGCAGTTGAATTCACTTGATTATTCCAACGATTCATAAGATGAGAGTATGCAAGTGATGGAGAAGTCGCACAAATTACAAGATGATAACATTTGTAGAAATACTAAATTTTGATTCTGTTTTAAGCTGTGTTGTGTTTTTGATTATTTGCAAAGTGTATATTACCAGGGGTACGAGCATTTTTCGCAATCAAACATTTCCAAATGTCCACTGCGTTCTATTCTTCCATCAGTTAACACGAATTCAATTGACATGTATATAACTCGCAAGATTATGAGATCTTCATCACAAATTATCATACACAGATATCAAAGTTGCATGACGTTATCTATAATCCTTGGCCTTTATTTAAATATCGAGCACATCTTTTTTTTTAAATATTTTTGTGCCAGGAGAAATTTTCAATAATTTGCTGTCTCTTCTAAAGTTTATTTTTTGTTTTGAACTAATTGAAAAAAAGGCTAACTATTGTGCAGTTGCCTAGGTCTTTATTTATGAATGTTGGTTCAGTCAGAATTATCTTTGGACAACATGACGATAAAATAATCTGGTACTTTAATTGGCTTATACTGCTTTTATAAATTATAAAACATGGCATTTTCCTATCAGGCTTCTTAGATAGTTGAACTATTTCAGTTGACAAGATAAATTTCAACAAACCTCCCAACTTTGAATTGAACAATTATTGTCAGTTACAAAATAACATTAAATAGACAAGAAACTACAGATTATTAAACTTTTTTTCAATACTAGTATTTTAAGACGTGCACTTTACACTTGGGTATAAACCAATTTTATATTTTACCAAGAATTCAAAAAATATTAACAACTTTTCTAACCAATTACAGAATACATAGATTGATTGAAATTACCGTAGTGTGTCTGGTGTGCGTGTATACGCATCATTCACATTTTGTGTGACTGCATTGTATTGTACAGCTTCATTTTTTATAGTGGCTGCAACAAATAAGTTAAACTGTCATTAATAAAATAAATAAAATATGAACTACTGTATTAAGCACATAAAATGGTTTAGTCAGGAATTATTTCTCATAATATTATCCCAGAATGCTGAACTATTAAAAAAATATCTACATTTACAGGCTAAAGTCTCACAGTAAATTTATTGAATTAAAATTGAAATGAAGATGATATAAAAAATGGTGTCCTATAATCACGCCCTCTAGTGGTATGCTTGTAAGACGTAAATGGGTGACACAAAAGCCGTCCAAATATTCATTATCACTTTGATCTGTAGTCATGAAGCTGATCTTTTATTTTGTTGTCATAGAAACATTCTATCACTAGAAGGTGCAGTTTATAAGAACTTTTTGACTGGCAACAATTTGGTGCAACATTTTGCCAGTTTATATTTTTTTTTTTTTGATAATTTTGTATCAAATATATTACAGATATTGATCACAATTTAAGTGAAAAATTTGAAAATAATTGTGGTTTTATTTTGTGACAACAGTTGATTTTCACACTCAAATGTTTTTGCATAATTCTTAGTTACAACTTGATATAAACTGACAGACTGGGGGATCATACAAGTTATGATAGTGCACTCTTGGTTGGGCAGTGCGGCAATTAAAACACATTATGTAAGAAAAGGGAATGCGATCAATGGGTGACAAGAATGCAATAAATATACAAGGCAATTGCGATATGTCAAGTTACAAGAAAGCTGTTCTGTAGCTATAAATTAAAATTAACATGGTTCTATTGTGAAATCCCAGGGATTGACAGCATCCCCTTTAATGAATTATATGCTACATGTATATAAAAGTTCACCTTCACCGCCATCAGCAGTAGTTCCAGAATGACTTGCAGACTGTTTCTCACCATCACCACCAAAGTGACAAAACTTCAAGAACTTCTGTTTTGAGTTCTTTTTTAGCAGCACTATCATTAAAATAATCATGAATAAACAGGCAATACATGGTAAGATAACAGCTGCCAACACTAGTGGATCAGGTTTATAGTCAAGCATATGGTATTCTCCTGTATCATCTGAACAATAAAAAAGACAAAATTAAAACTTAAATCATTTAAAAAGAAATTTGCTTTAAGTAATAACATTATATTCTATTATTATACACCTAGCTCTGCAATACAATAATTTTCATTATTGTACTCTTTTAGACCTTTGATCTGATAAATGAAAACACAAATAATATGATCACGGAGCATGTTTGCCTGAGTGATGTACCTAAATTCTGATATTTGATATTCAAAATTTGCATAAACGAGCACACCACATGCATGCACTCCGCTGACGCAAATTCTGAACATTCATTTCTTATTGTTAAACCTCTCTCTTACACTTAAGCAAATGTATTTGTGCAGTTACATCACGAATATCTTCAGAAATTATTATAACATGTAGTAATGACCAGAAAATGTGATCATCTTTAATGATCAGTTGCTAGGATACTACTGCCTTGATGAAACTTGTTGTTAACCACTGCCAAGATTTCCTTGTATATAAATAAGTTCTACAACAGCATAATAAATTTCTAAGTGTCAGTTATCCTTGCCATCATGATCCAGTACATTACAACTTAGACTATGTTTAAAACAGCAGACTGCATGCAGTGTGGAGGAAAGTGAAGTTGGGCACAACTTTGACACTGTACAACACAACTTTAGACTGCTCTATTTTGTTGTTTTTTGTTTGTTTGTTTTAAACCACAAATGGCATATAAGTATATACCGGTATACATTGGACAATACCTTCGTTGTATGGTGCACTTGGACATTAAAACAGTATTTTGTGAATAACCTTGTATTATACATATGTATGTAATATGTGAAACCATCCATGATGAAACTTATATGGAAATTGCGTGGTATGACAACTGCCATTTAACTATATGACAAATTAAAACTTGTTAAAACTGCTTAAGAACCACATACCTTCATCTTGAATGACTCGAATCATTTTTGGAGTAGGAATGCCAATATTTTTTTCCAATACTTTTTGAGTACTCAACTGCTTAGTAAATCTCAACCGTGTAGTAGTGGATAGAGGTGGTGACATAGTCGTGGTAAACTCACAGTCTTTGTGTCCTTGATATTCAGCACATGTGATACAATTACCAAACTCATCCTTATAAAATCTAACAGTACAAAGGATTCATAATAAACGTAATTGAATTCATTGTATTTTCCTTCAGAAGTCATTATATGTATATAAATAGCAATGCTAACAAACTATGACTATTTTCTCTATCATAAATGCATGCCATTATATGTA